TCTTTCAAGCTTTCTCTCTTTTGTTCCCTGAGCTGACTGGTTTGCCAACGGATCTGTAGTTCTGAGTCTCCCTGTCATTGGCAGATTCCCGTGGGCCGTGACTTGGCAGTGGCTGTCTTTGCAGAGCAGGGTTTCCCCTTCCTTGATCTATGGCGCTTCCTGGATGCATAAATCTACTCTGTCAAATTTTTCTGTTATCTTCCTAGTTCTGTTCCAGCATTGTGCACAGTCTCCTTGGCCTAGGGAAGGGGGAGAACCTGAGGTTGGGTGGTTGTTGTTGTTGTTGTTGTTGTTGTTGTTGTTGTTGTGTGCCATCAAGCCAGGTCAATTCATAGCTGACCCTCCAGCAGCTTCTCAGAGGCTGTAAATCATTCAAGAATTGGTTGACTATCTTTCTACTTGGGAGGAACTGGTGGTTTCAAACCATGTGCTTTTGCGCTGACAGCCCAGTTCCTTAGAGCTAAAAGCCTCTGGTAGGAGCAAACTGCATTACCTTTATGAGAAACATTGAGGTCTCATCACATAGCACTACTGTATCTCAGCAGCACGGTGCAGTCGCCAGTGCCCACTGAAATGAAAAGTGGCTGGGGTCTGTTTGCACTTTCCCAGTGCGCTTTACTTTTCCATAAAACACAGCCTTGTGCATGCTTGTTGCAAGTACCCTGGCATTCTTGCTGCTCTGTCACTTCATGTTTCTAATTTGCTGAATGTGACACAAGGCAGGAGGACACAATGATGAAAGAAGTGTGAGTTGGAGAGAAACATAAAGCTGATTACTGCTGGGGAAGTATTTGTTCCCCTCCAGCCAAAACTGGTAGGGGTGGGGAAGGAATGAAAAGAAATGCGCATTTATGTTTGAAAGAAAACCTTCTACTCCTTAATCTCACCAGAGCATCTTCAGGGCAGAAAGTCCTTGTAAGCAGTACAAAACTTCCTCCTTCCTAACCATTTGGAAGCTAAAGAGTGTGGTGGAGGGCAGATACAGCTCGTCTTACTGTGTAACTCTGGACAAGTACTTTCCTCTTCTTGACCCTCACTTTTGTCACCTGGATAATAGAAATTATGTCTATACCTTCTTTATGCAGTTGTTGTAACGATTCAATGACGTAATGTCCATTTCATATGTATATGTAATTTAACCTGCCTGCCATAGATCTAATAAAGCCCGTCATGTGATTCCTTATCATTGTTGTGTATTGCTGTTGTTATGTACTGTCCAGTCAGAATTGACTCCTACCTGACCCTTCAGAAGGATTTCAGAAGCAGCCAGTTACATGGGAGGAGGCTGTCCATCTTTCTCCCACATATTATCATTAGGTCGTTTTAATTAAAAACAGCACTTAGTTACACGCTAACAGCGTAGTGTAGTATCCTGAACTTTAGTTTTAACTTTAAATTCTTCACTCTGGACTGGCTTTCTAAATATGAGCAAGTTACTGAACTTCTCTGAGCTTGAGTTTCTCCTGCAAAATAAGGATGATAAAACCTCTTTAAAGGGTGGCTTCGAGGAAAGCACTTAGCCCAGTACCTAGCACAAAGCCACAGGCACTTAATAAATGTTTGTTTTTCTAGTGCTGTGGCTCTCAACCACATTCAAATCACCTGAGAGCTTTTTAAAAAGCCCAAAGGCCTAATCCCTCATCCCTAGAGGACATGGTTTAATAGGTCTGGGTGGAGCCAGGGCATCAGTATTTTTGGAAACTTCCTGCGGTGATTCTAATAAGCAGCTTGGGTTGATAATTTCTCCCCAGCATCTTGTGTGTGTGTGTGTGTGTGTGTGTGTGTGTGTTTCTTTTTTATATCTGTACTCAAGAGACTGACCAGAATTGCAGAAATTCTGGGCACAGTAAAAAATTCAATACACCTGCAGATTTAAACCCTGGACAAGAAATATGCCACAGAGGAATTGCATTCTAGTTTCTTCTAGGGAGGGAAAAAAATTATATTCAAAGAGTCCTTTTAGAGTCTTGAACTGGAAAGGTGGTAAGAAGTTTAGCCTAAGCCACTCATATAAAATATGGAAACTCCCAGTCGGTTGGGGATTTATATTTGGGGGTAAGGCTAGGGTTTTGGCCTCTCAAGAGATATAAATTGAGGCCTTGAGAGTTTAATGTGAGGGAGGAAGAGGTGTTCTCATTATGACTCCTAAAAATCCAGGGCTCTGCTAATACCTAGGAATGGAAAAGCATCATCTGCAATAGCAGGGGGTCGGGTGGGAGTGTATCTTGGTCTCTGTGCTTATGTTTCCAAGACCCAAGGCTAGGTCATCCGAGAACTAACTTTCTCCCCATAGGTTTATGGTATTAGTTACCCAATAAAAGTTGGGTTAATTTTACAACCCAAGTAAAATTTAAGCCAAAAAGGCTTCAGCATTACTCTAGGATTTATGAAAGTAAACATGTGAAGTGCTTGCAGGATTTTGCAACATTAAAATTTCAATGTCTTTATGTCAGGTACATGATATATTGGTTTGTCTATGTACTTAAAGGTTACGTTTTTCAACAGCGCTTTCCAATACAAACTACTCTTGAGACCAAACGGAAGGTGCCTGCCCCACCTCCACGTCGAAATGACTGTTTCAGTGGAGAGGGAATAGAAAGCAGCTGAAAAGTTTAGTCTCTTAACGATCAGCCCTTTCAGGTGCTGTTCACCTGGTTTCCCGCTCTGAAGGTGATTTCTAGACTCAGACACTGAGTCCCTGCTAGGGAAGTTTGGGCCATTGCACTAACCACGTTCATTTTACAAACTAAGAGTAAATAGTTATTCTTCAAATAAATGCTTTTTCAGTACGATGAGGTCCGCATGACTTTTTCTTATGGGATGTTGTTGTTGTTCATTGTCATCAGCTCTTGGCCCATGTGCAGAGAGTGGAGCTGCTCTTTTCAAGGCTGTGACCTCTCAGAAGAACATTACCAGGCCTGTCTTCTGGGTGCCTCTGGGAAGGTTGAAACAGCCAATGTATTGGATATTACTCAGGAGCTTAGCTGTTGGCCTCACCATGTTGCTCTCAGTTAAGTGCCATCAAGTCAACTACAGCTCATAGCATCCCTGTGAACAACAGACCTGAATCCTACCCTACTCCTGGTCCATCCGCACCCTCTCTGTACACTCAAATCCATTGTTGTAGTCACAGTGTCAACCCATCTTGAGGGCCTTCCTCTCTCTCTGACCCCTCACCCACCTTTCCCACTATGATGCCCTTTTCTCCAAGGACTGGTCCCTTCTGACAACATGCCCACAGTGTGTGATAGGAAATATCACCATTCTCGCCTTGATGGGGCACCCTGGCTATGCTGCCCCACCCAGGGACTTTGATTTTGAAATAGAGACATTAATTGTCATCTCCGGCTTACTCATAAGAAAAATCATAGCTCACAGAGGCTTTGTGTTTATTGTTGTGTTGTTTTTCAGTGTCATTGACTTAATTCAGATTCATAGTGAATGACCATATGTTAAACAGAAAATATTATTGCCTGGACCTGCACTATCTTGACATTTCTTGGTATGTTTGAGTCCATTGTTGCAGGCATGTGTCAAAACATCTAATTCAAAGGATCTTCTTTTCTGACCCTCTGCTTTACCAAATATAATGTCTTTCTCAAGTAGTTGGTTCCTTTTGATGGCATGCCCAAATTAAATAAGACAGTATCTCTCCATTCTCACGCCCAAGAAGTAGTATAGCTATGCTTCCTACAAAAGTACTTGGCATTTTTCTTGTAGTCTGTGGCATATTTATTATTTTTGCAATAACCATTGCATGTGCCAATTTTTCTTCCATGCCCGTTTTTTTTGTGAAGCATCCTAATGCATATGAGATCACCATGGCTTGTGTCTGGCACACTTCAGTCACTAAAGTGACCTCTTTGCTTTTCTAAGACTTTAAAAATGTCTTCTACCACAGTTTTGTCCATTTCAGCCTATCATTTGATTTCTTAACCGCAGGAAGAGAATTTTGTTTTCTTGACTTTTATTCTGAGAGAATGACTAAAATAGAAAGAAATTGAAGATGTCATTTAGTTAAGAGGATTTCTGGATTCCAGTCAGGTTAGCAAAAGGGCAGCATCCAGAGTAGAGGTCAGTCCATATACACAGCCAGCAGCCTTTTTGACACCCCCCCCACACACACACACACTACACCCTCTCCCCCTGCTTATGAATGAAAGATAAGTCTTAAATGTTAAAAGCCACCAAGATTTTGTAATTGTTTCTTATACAACATTGTTGCAGTAGACGCTGACAGAACCAGCAACTAGACAAGGAAACATCAAGCAAGGACAAAGATTTGGCTCTGTGCTCCTTCTTAAATATTACACTCAGATCAAGACTTTCTTATTTGAGGCTCTCAGTAGCCACCAGCCTTTTGAATGACTACATAGTCTTTTTCTGACAAACAAAATAGCTTGACTTCTTCTCTAGATTTTCTTGGCTTTAGTGCCTCGTTTCAAATGCATCAGTCCCCTGCCTTTTTTCTGTAGGGTAGAGATTATGGGACCACAGTAGTGAAGAGCTGTAAAATGAGGTTTTCCTCTCATTTCTTTCCAGATGCACCCAACTTCTTCCCTTGAGGGTCCTCCTAACTGAAATCTCAGTGGAAGTGGATCTTGTAGATAATGCAGCAAATGAAGCAAAAATAACCTCTGCTTAAAAAACAAAATGGGGGGGGGGCATAAAAACCTGTCTAACATGTGCCTATATTTCCAACTCATTTCCTTTTTACTCTTATAACGACATCATCTTCCAGCCCACCACCAGCTGCGAAAATAAAACTGTTTTCTCCCATATTTAAGGACGATTTTTGTGCTTTGAGATGATTTTCTGGGGTTGAAGGAAACTTGACCAACGTGACCAACAGATGTTTTAAGTGATGAGAAAGAGTTTTAAGTCCAGTATTTAGGATACTGTACCCAACTGCGCCCCCTAGCGACCTCTAGAAGCATTGTGAAGCCCCAGGCAACCATATGCCTGTGCGGCAGCCACTAATAGGCGTGCTTTATTTTTAGAGACGAGTATGAAGAAGACGGATTCTGTCAACCATACAGAGGGATTGCATGTGCAAGATTTATTGGCAACCGCACTGTCTTTATGGAGTCTTTGCACATGCAAGGGGAGATAGAAAATCAGATCACAGGTAAGTAACACCATTGATATTATATTTATTTATCCCTTAAATAATTCTTTTTCTCGCCAATAGTATTTTAAGCCCCTCTCTTGACGAAGTATTAGGCTATTAGGCAAAGTTTGAAGCATGAGAGCTGAAGTTGAAGTAGTAGCATAAAGAGGCATGAGACATGAGCTCTATGCTTTGGAATTTACATTAAAATAATTTATTGAAGGTTGCTCTTTAGAGGAAAAAGAAGCTTTGAGAAGTCTCACATTCACTCAAACACTCAATAAATATCACGGAGCGCTTTGGGGACACCAGGAATTGGCCTGAGCGCAGGGATATGATGGAATGGTGAATGAGCTAGGTGTATATCTCTGCCCTCACAGAGCTTACTGTTTGGAAGCATAGTGATTTGGAATGAAAGGGAATGAATTTAGGATTTAGCTGAACGCTAATCCCAGAACTACCATTGCCGTGTCTTTGGGGAAAGCTTTCACCTTCCATGAATATTTCGTTCACCTGTGAAGTGAATAGAGCGGGAAAGATGATCCTAGGTTTTTCTTGATCTAAGCCGAGCCCATTGTCATCGAGTCAGTTCCAGGGACAGGGCACAGGAGCGGTCCCACAGCACTGCCCCTCAGGGCTCCCATGGAGGTAATCCCCAGGCAAGCAGAGGGCCACAGCAGCAGCTGGTGTGTTCAAACCATTGACCTTTCAACTCCCTGATGAGTGCTTAACCACCGCACGACCAGATGCCCTTTTGCAGCCCTAGCATTACAGACTTACCCTCCACTTTAAAAACAAAACAAAACAAGAAACAACAAAACCCCTGAAAGTATCCCATCTTTCTTTTCAACTAAAACCTTACAGTGAACAGTGAATCACTTTCTGGTATATGTGTGCTAGGAACTATAGTTCACCTTGTGCAGTTTTATTGATGTTTCGAGCGACCATGGACCTCTTCCTTTACTGTCTGTGCCTTGTAACCTTTGAAATCTATTAAAATTGACATAATAAGGTTTTAACATGGTTGCCACATTTAGTAAATAAAAAGCCAAGATACCTACCCTGTTAGTTGTTCATTTCAAATAGATAATGAGTAACTTTTTTACTATAAGCTCTGGTGGCCTAGTGACAAGAAGCTGTGCTCAAATCCCAGAGGCATGCAGTTCGAGGCCACCAGCTGCTCTGCAAGAGAAGGATGGGCAATCTCTTCTCGTGCAATTAATTGCCTCTGAAAACCCAATGTGTGGAGGGTCAACTATGGGTCAGTTCCGACTTTGTGGTACACAACAACACAAAAATATATCCCAGATGTTTATCTGAAACTTAAATTTAACTGAGCATCTTACAGTTAACCTGGAAACCCTAGGATTTAAGAGAGCTAAGAACAAGCCAAAGGTGGGCACCTCAGACAGCAGAAAATCCAGAAACAGTGCCTTCTGGGAAAGTTGAAGGAAGCTAGACTTGGGGGAAGAGTTATTTAACTTGGAGAAGCAACTCCAGAATGCCGGAGTTGCCTCTTTACTGAAGCGTTCAGGCTTTCAAGAAGGAGAAAGAGCCTGTGAAATTCCAGAGAAAAGGAGGAGTTCAAGTGGGGAGAAGGTGTTAAAGGCACAATTCAACTTAATCTAAAACACTTTCACATACTTTTAACTAAACAGTTACAAAAAGATATAGACATTTCTGATTTAAATACTTAATAACAATTCTTTCATGATAATTTTCAATGAGCAGCGATTTACTGAAAAGTATTTTGTTTTCGGGGGTGGGGGGAGTCCATCCAAATTTGTTTAATCCAGCATTTCCCAAGCTTGTTCTTCCTGAAACCCTAATTTCTTATAGTATCACTTATGTTCTATGGAATTTAAAGCAAGCTATGGTGGCCCAGTGGTAAGAAACTGCACTGCAATCCCAAAGGTGTATGGTTTGAATCCACCAGCTGCTCCTCCGGAGAGGGATAGACAGTCTCTTCCTGTGTGATTAACTGTTTCTGAAAACCCACTGCAGGGTCAGTTATAGGTCATTTCTGACCCAACGATACTCAGCAACAATGGGGTTAGAAATATGTTTAAAATGTGTTTTCCCTGTGTAGACTTTCGGGGGAGCTCTGGTGGCCTAGTGGTAAGACGCTGCGCTACAATCCGGAGGGCACACTGTTTGAAGCCACTCGTTGGACTGCAGGAGAAGGATGGGCAGTCTCCTCCCATGTGACGAGCTGCCTCTGAAAACCCGCTGGGCGGTCAGCTATCGATGGGTTGATTCTGATTCAAGGCACACGACAACAATGGAGTTAATGTTTTAAGGAGCATACTTTGGAAAAGAGTGCTTGAACAGTCTCCTAGGCTGCCTTGCAAGCTCTAAGCTCTTTGTCATTAGGCAGTAAGGGAGTCTAGGATGTATTGTTCCTTCTGTACGTGGCTACTCTATTGAGTAAGAAATTGGACTTCCAGGCCACCGATACTCTGATTATCATGAGTTGGGTAGTGCTCTTCAAGAACTATCAGATTAGTCACCTCATTTTTTTAGAAGATGGAGTAGAAATCATTCAAGCCACAAAGAAATTAAGCAAGTTACTCGCAGCCATCCAGCAAGTCGGAGTCAAGCCACAGCACTTAGTCTGTGATCAGATCCAGCCACCGCACAAAGCAAGCCCTGCCCTGCAGCTGTCAAATGTTTTAGAAACCTCACCGAACTAATAAAAAGCACCGGATGAAACACTAAGTTCTATTGCTTTGTAGTAAAAATGAAAAATATATTGTACTTTAACCTAATTAATTCTTTTTTATTAGGAAATGGTACATATGTAATATAATCTTGTTTTTTTAACTTTGTAGTCAAAATTATTTTTTTTTCCAAGCCTGTGAACGTAAGCTGCTTAGACATCTGAAATGAATCTCCTTCTCCTGGCCTTGTGTGTTTGAGAACAGCAGATTCTTCCCAATGTGTGTTTATATCTGATATCTGTTGACTAGATAACCAGAGAAGATAAAGCGTGGCCGTGGAAGTTAGTAATTGTATTTGTTTTTCAGCTGCCTTCACCATGATTGGCACCTCCAGTCACTTATCTGATAAATGTTCTCAGTTCGCCATCCCTTCCCTGTGTCACTATGCCTTCCCGTACTGTGACGACACTTCATCTATCCCAAAGCCCCGTGACTTATGTCGTGACGAATGTGAAATCCTGGAGAACGTTCTGTGTCAGACAGAGTATATTTTTGCACGATCAAATCCTATGATTCTAATGAGACTGAAGCTCCCAAACTGTGAAGATCTCCCCCAGCCAGAGAGCCCAGAAGCAGCAAACTGCATCCGGATTGGAATTCCCATGGCGGATCCCATAAATAAAAGTAAGTGGTAGCTCCTCACTACCTTTTGCTCTGTCGTGGCTCCAGCAACCTCATGGTGGAGTAATAATTGCAGCTTGATGCACTCTGAGTGGTCATTTCATGTGGTGATCAGATTACCTCCCAGTGGCTGAATGCTGTGCCAGGACTGAGCGTACAGTGGTGAATTAGATATATGGCCTAGTGGTAAGAAGCCATGCTGCAGTCCCAAAGGCAGGCAGTTTGAGTCCCCCAGCTGCTCCTTGTGAGAATAATAGGCAATCTCCTCCTGTGTGATTACTGCCTCTGAAAAGCCCCTTGGAGAGTCAGGTGTGGGTTGGTTCTAACTCTATGGCACACAACAACAATAACAACTTTCAAGAAGCTTCAGGTGACCAGCTAGTAGACCAGTTGCTGTAGAGGTCATTTGAATTCATGGTGACTTCATATTATTGTAGGTCTAGGCATTCCATGAGGTTTTCAATGTCTGATTTTTCAGAAATAGATAACCAGGCTTCTCTTCCAACACGCCTAAGGGCAGACTTGAACTTCTAACTTTTTCCTCTGCTCCCTCACCATCATTTGTGTCTTTTCCATTCATCTGTGTTTAAGCTCCCTGGCAATTTTGGTTTTCTTTTGATACTTCACTAAAAATACCCTGTAGCACCTAATCAATGTGAAAGTGGTAGTAAAAGAAAGAGGGGGCAGTCACACAGAAGACTAACAGTTCAGACAACTATTTTATTAAAATTCATGGCTTTTAGAAAAAGCCATGAATTTCTCTTCACTTTCATCTCACGAGAGATGTTGATTTCAGTTTGAAAGATACTATCACTATCCACTTACCAAAATTTGGGGCTGATGCAAGATCTTTAGAGAGTGAATCTTCAGGATATCGTAGATACTTTGACTCTTGTTTCCTTTTTGCATTATATTAGTTTTATTTATGTGTAATACGTTATTCTAAAAAGAGAGAAGCATAACTAATAAATGCACATACAAAATATCAGTAAAAAAAAAAGTTTCTTCCATCAAGTTGATTCCAACTCAGGGGCATCCTGTACCATAGAGTAGGACTGGTCCATGTGAGGCATTAAATCTTAAGATAACTAGAATGAGCTCATCTTTCTCTCATAGAATGACTGATGATTTCATACCACCAAGCTTTCAGATGGCAGTTCAATGCATAACCCACTGTGCCACTTGGGCTCCTTTGGAACTTAATATTCCTTTGTTGGTTCAGTCGAGTTGATATATCTGAACTGCTTAGAATTGTACCTCCAAGCCCCAACCCAGACTCATTGCCATCAAGTTGATCCTGATGTACAGTGATCCTGTAGGACAGAGGAGACCTGCTCAAAGGGTGTCCAGCACTATAAATCTTTATGGAAACTGACTGTCATGTTTTTCTCCTGTGAAGCGACTGTGTGGGTTCAGATAGCTGACCTTCCGGTTACCAGCAAGGCTACCACTACACCTTTCCGAATGATACATTCTCAGTAAATAGTCAGTAAAATCCTTTTTTTATTATCACCACTAAAGTCTTATGACTCTGCCAAAAATCCAGTTCATTTCATCTCAAGATTCTGTACCACTTTGAGGTAACATCCCCTGTGCTCACCTGAGGGCTCTTTAAGAATCCTGATTGTCAACTGTGTGCAGCCCATCAGCACAGAAATGCCTCGGGCTCCTGTATGAAGCCCCTAGTAGACATGCTCTGTGAATCACCAGCTAGACTCTTTGTCACACGATTCATGACTGAGATCAACAGTCAGTAATGGAAAGAGACATTTGGCTTGAACCTTCTGTGAACTATTCTCTAGAAGATTACCCCTGTGCCCAAGATACACCCCAGTTCCGATTTGTTCTGTATTCAGCACTGAAAAATACTTGTGGAGGAATGGTTTGGTTCCTAAGCATAAGCTTTAAATCCTCCAAGGAATGCAGCTGCTGGGCTGGCCCTGGGTCAGCGCCCAGCAGGCAGTGAGGCTCAGCCTATCTGGCCCCTGACAGCAGAGAAGTCCTAGCCAAGAGGTTAATTACATGTCTTCCCCTCCAGAATCTGCTGGCTGGAGCTCCAGACTCACTTCCACATCTTTCTTCCAGTTCAGACTTTTCATTGTGTGTTTTCCAGATCACAAGTGCTACAACAGCACAGGTGTGGACTACCGGGGCACTGTCAGTGTCACCAAATCGGGCCGGCAATGCCAGCCGTGGAATTCACAGTACCCTCACACACACACCTTCACCGCCCTCCGCTTCCCGGAACTGAATGGGGGACATTCCTACTGCCGCAACCCCGGGAATCAGAAGGAGGCTCCCTGGTGCTTTACTTTGGATGAAAATTTTAAGTCAGACCTCTGTGACATCCCAGCGTGCGGTGAGTAGCAAGTCATAGTCTTGAATGCGTTTAATCATCTTTCAAAGGTCTCCCAGCCCACCTCTACTTTCTGTAGGATAACTGGCTAAAAGGGATAATGGCGAGTTGTGGTATTTGTTTGAACCCAAAGTATGTCTTTAGGCTGAATGTTGTTGTTAGCTACCTACTCAGGTCCAGGCCCCTGACGCATGGTGACGCCATGCACAATGGAACAACATGCCACTTAGTCCTACACCAACCTCTTTGATTGGTTGCAGAGCAAATTGTTTCAACCTATAGAGTTTTCATTGCTGGATCATTTGGCCTTTCTGGTCTGAAAGCTCCACTGAAGCCTGTTCAGCAGCATGCGAGGCTTCCCTGAGAGATGAGCAGTGACTACGTATCAAGTACATTGCTCTGTAGATGAAATACACTGGCCAGGATGCAAACCCAGGTGTCCCACATGGGAGGTCACAGTTCTACCCCTGAAATCCAAACCACCCTTTGCTGATTGGAAGCTCTGGTGGCCTGGTGATAAGAAGCTGCACTGCAATCCTGAAGGAATGGGGTTTGATTCTACCAGTTGCTCTGTGGAAGAAAGATGGTCATCCTCCTCCCATGTGATTAACTGCTTTTGAGAACCTGCTGGAGGGTCAGCTATGGGTTGGTTCCAACTCTACGGTACACAACAACAACAATAGCAACTGTGCTAGTTACACCTTGCTTGCCATGTCTATATACAACTCTGTTAGGGTACCAGAGCACACTTTCACAGTAAATTGCTTAACTATCTACAGCCATTGCATCAGTACATGATACAGGACATATTTTCTGCAAAAGCAGAGGTAAAATAACTCACAATTGTTATGTATCATCGAGTCAGAACTGACCTATAGCTGACCTGTTAGCAGGTTTTCAGAGATAGTAAATTGAAAGGGATTGACTATCTTTCTTCCACAGAGCAACTGGTGGATTTGAACCACATGCCTTTGGGTTGGCAGTGCAACTTCTTATCACTAAGCCACCAAGGAAATGACAGAAAAAGATGTCACCTATGATAGTCCACATCCAAGTACATATTCTTTTTTTTTCCAAGTACATATTCTTACAAGATAGGTGTATCAGAAGTAGTTATTATTACAAAATACGTGTATCTGAAGCAAAGCTAGACAAAAGAACTGTGTGCTCTTGAAAACATCCACAAAGCAAGGTGAATTACTTGTCATTCTGAGTCATCTCAAGCAGTTTGTCTTATCTTTTAGAACTACGGAGGTGCACAAGGGTCTAGAAGAATAATGGAATTCATGAGGCATTTTATTGTTTTTCCTAGAACATTTTTTAAGAAAAGAGATTGAAATGTTGATAAGACCTGCATTTTGAGACTCTTGGAATTTATGTCATGTTACTGGTCCTGGTTCTCATAGATGATGTCAAGGGAGTTTACCAAGTCTAGAGGAGAGGCAGGCAGGATGCCCTTGCTGGGAAAACCAAGGTTAAAATTAGAGGGTGGAGGTTCAGCATAAGAAATAGGCCCCTGACTCATAGTGACCCCATGCACAGTGGAACAGTGTGCCATCTAACCCTGAACTATCTTCTTGATTGGTGCAGGAGCACACAAATAACAGAAGTAAAGGTGCTTATTTAACTGGTTGAACATTGGTGTTGTTGTTGTTATGTGCCATCGAGTCATTTCCGACTCATAGCGACCCTATGCACAACAGCTCTAAACCCTGCTCTATCCTGCGCCAACTGCACCGCCTCTGACACATCCATCCCGATTACCCCAGTCACCAAATCAATCCATCTCATAGAGGGTCTTCCCCTCCTGCGCTGTCCCTCCGCCCTCCCAAGCATGATGTCCCTCTCCAAGGACCCGTCCCTCCTGGCAACATGTCCAAAGTATGTCAGACGAAGCCCCAGAATCCTTGCCTCCAAGGAGCAGCTTGGTTTAATCCTCTCCAAGATGGATCTGTTTGTTTTCCTGGCAGTCCAGGGTACATTCAGTACCCTTCTCCAGCACCACAGCTCAAAAGCATCCACTCTCCTTCTGTCCTCCCTAGTCATTGTCCAACTCTCTGATGCATAACAAGCGATTGCAAATACCATGACCTGTATCAGGCGCACCTTAGTCTCCAGAGAGACACTGTTGCTCCTGAGTATGTTTGAGAGGTCCCTAACGGCAGACTTTCCCATCGCGATACGCTTTTTGATTTCCTGACTGCTGGTACCAAGAGTGTTAACTGTGGAGCCGAGCATAGTGAAGCTGTGAACACTCTCAATCTCTTCATCATCCATCCTGACACTGCCAATTGGTCCGGTGGCGAGAATCTTTGTCTTCTTGACGTTGAGCCTTAGTCCATACTGAAGGCTGCAGTCCTTGACCCTTTGCAGCAAGTGCATGAGGTCCTCCTCAGTTTCAGCAAGCAGGGTTGTGTCATCTGCATAACGGAGATTGTTGATAGATCTTCCACCAACCCTGATGCCACAATTCTCCTCATAGAGCCCAGCCTCTCGGATAATCTGCTCTGCATACATGTTGAAAAGGTATGGAGACAGGATGCATCCCTGGCGTACACCCTTCACAAACTGTTTATCTCCACCCCCCCACCCCTCACCCATATGTATTCAGTACCTACTCCATGTCAAATAGTCCTCCAGGCACAGGAGTATGGCAGGAATCCTTATGTGGTAACCATTCAGCTCAGCACATCCTAGAGAGAACAAAGAGGCCACTGAGGTGGAAAGAGAATGAGCAAAGAGCAAAGTAGTACAAGATCAAGTTGGAAAATAAATAGAACCAAATCATGGAGCATCTTACAGGCCATATAGGATATAAGCACTTGACCTTCATGAGTTAAGGAGGTGTTAGGAATATTTTGAGCAGAAGATGATATCATATGATATAAAAGATATTGAGAAAAAATATTGAGTTGAGACAGATTGGTGACTGGATAAACTGGTGAGAAGCTGATGACTGGATCATCTGTGAGAAACAAAAGTATCATGGACCACTCTGAGACTCTTGAGTGGGATTGCCTTTCACCAAGCTAGAGAAAACTGCAGGAGGAGTACGTTTGCTGGGACTTGGAATTAGAAGTTTGTTTTCGTTCAGGCTGAACTGAAGATGCCTTTTGGAAATCTAATAGATACGACTAGAGAGAATATTAGAATGCAGAGTTCAAGAGTGGTGTTTGAGCTAGGGATAAACATTTGGCAGACACACAGAAGACATTTAAGTCAGTAAGACTGAATGGGAAGAGAGACTTAGAAAATGGGCAGTTCAGCCCTGAACAGAAGCATAACTTACCTGGCTGATGATATATGGCTGATAAAGGAGAAAGAATTAGTTGAAAATGATTTGTTGACTTTAGACTGATTGGACAGTGTGAATAGACTCTATTCTTAAGATAACAGCTACTTGATTGAAAGACTGTTTTGTCCTAGATCTTGTATGAGACAACCTTGTTTCTTCTGTTACTTCATTTAATCTTCATTTATAGACTCTATTAGTTTCATTATTTGTATGTTGTGTTGTTGTTGTTAACCATTGAGTTGGACTGACCCATACCTGACCCTCTAGTGGGTTTTCAAAGGCAGTTAATCACATGGTAGAAGATTGTCCATCCTTCTCCCATGGAGCAGCTGGTGGGTGGGATTCGAACCATGTGCCTTTGGTATTGCAGTGCAGCTTCTTGAGACTTGGCTACTGAAATTCAGAACTTTGCAATTTGCCCAAGAATCCAGCTTTTCATAGCTAACTCATGTGTAGAGCTCAGGTCTTCCTGCTTCCCAGACCTATTGGTTTTGTGGTTGTTTTTTTTTTTGTTTATTTGTTTGTTTTTGTTTTTGTTTTTGTTTTTTTTTACTAAGCAGTATTCTCTCCTCTAAAATAAAGCAATAGTAATCTGCCTAAAAGCAATAACAGATTAACTATAAATATGTGAAGCTCACTCTTGAATCAAAACTGACTCATAGCTGACCCTCCAGTAAGTGTCTAAGGTTGTAAATTGTGTAATAGAAGAATGCCCATCTTTCCCCACAGAGTGGCAGGTAGATTCAAACTGCCAGGCTTTGGGGTTGGCACCACAACCCCATGTGTACTAGGCTACCAGTTGTTGTTGCTGTTAGGTGCCATCAAATCGAGCCATAACAATCCTATGAATAGTAGATCAGAACCCGGTCCTATCCTGTGCCATCCTCAACTTCCTGATGCATAAGAGCCCATTTGCGGAGCCACTGGGGTCTTCCTCTCCTTCACCAACCCTTTCCAAGCATCATGTCCCTCTCCAATAAACAGCCCCTCCTACCAACATCCCCAAAGTATGTGGCACAAAGCCTCGTCATCTTTGCCTCCAAAGAGCACTCTGTCTGCATCCTCCCCAAAGCATATTTGTTTGTTCTTCAGTCCATGGACTACCAACACTCTTCTCCCATACCACAGTACAAAGGCATCAGTTCTTCTTCTGTCATCCTTATTCATTGTCCAGTTCTCAGATGCATAGCAAGTGACTGAAAATACCCAGGCATGAATCAGATGCACCTTAGTCCTCAAAGTGACATCATTACTCCTTATTATTTCAATGAAGTCAAACCACCAACCTTTTGCTCAGCAGTAAAACACTTCTAATTATCAGGGCTCCTAATCATTATATAGTCAACATATAAAGAGCAATGCTTCTTTACTGTCAGTTCAGCAAATACTAATTGAGAGTCAACTCTAGGACTAGGTGACTTGGAAGAAGGATAAAATTGATACACGCCTTTATTGAGCTACAATTCAGTAGTTGAGTCAATTATAATGCAGCCAATATGACGCAATAAAGGTAACAGAGCAGGAGAAGGGGTAAAACTGCAACAATTAATGGATGAAAATCTAACTTTTCTGTAAACTTTCATTAAAATCACAGTTAAGATTAAAAATGTTATTAAAAATTAAAAAGAAAGCAAAAAAAGAATAAATGATATGAAACAAAGAGGAACTAAGCATTTTATATAAGTAATAACAATTTTAAAATAAACCC